TTGACTCGTGAACCTTCACCTGAGACGATCTGGTGATTTTATTGATCCACTCGCATCGCGAACTGATCACGCCGGAGGAAGTGTATAAACCTGATGTGAAAGCAGACAGTGAACGCCTCAGGACTGACGCTCTTCTTCTGTGGTGTAAATGTACGTAGTGACTCTGTTCTGGCTGTCGTGTCTCTAACGAGGTCGGCATGGCGCCGTCACCTTCGAGGACTCGCCCATTAAACGGTTGATGGCGAGCGATGTTCGGCATGTTGGCATGCCATATGTCATCAGTTCCGCGGGCAGAGCGAGCGTGTCATGAATATTCCCGCAGCTTATTACAGAGCCGCGTCCTGACGCTCATCTGCTCTGACACCATCAGCACTGATCACATCAGGACGCCATGCTGCTGTGTCTGACGACAAGGGCGGGGTTTGAACACGCAGGAGCCGACCTCTGAACGGTGTCCTCGGACCAGACCGGGGTCACAGGCCCAGACTGAGCACGAGAGGTCAGAGCGAGGCTCCTCAGATCGCTGAGCTTCGGCCGTCATCTGTGAGGTCAGAGGTCACAGGTTTGATTGCTGAGCTGTGGGAAACGCGGTGTCGCTGCCGGCCTGGTTCTGGTCAGCCGCTGAAAACCTCTGCTGTGAATCATGTGACTGGTTTCCTGTGAACAGGTCACATGACGTGTCCGAATCGACGAAGTCAGTTTGAGCCACAGTTGTGGAACGGCGTTTTCCACTGTCAGTAGAAACAGACTCTAATGTGTCAACAGGTGAAGGAATAATCAGACGTTCACACAACAGCTGACGGCTCACATCATCCATCTTTTATGTACAGTCTGTGGTTGTTATCAGGCTCATTAACAACCTGTCACCACTTCCTGTGTCAGCCTCGCACCTGAGACAGGAAGTAACCTCGACCAGCTGACAGACACAGGTAAACTCCAGCTCCTCATGACATGTTTAATGCAACAATGACAGTGATGATGAAGAGTCCCTGTGAGCGTGGTAGCTTTGGCGTGCACAGCTGAGCGGTCGATAAATGAGGCCTCGGGTGTGTGTGAGGAGGAGCGGGACTGAGCGCGCTCAGTGCCAGCCGCAGGGCTGATGTGATCTGGATCACTGTCGTCCCCGCACAGCCCGACAGCTGCGTGAAGATGCCAGCGTGCATTAATTAGCAGCTGATTTTACTGAGCGGGGGTGGGGGGCTGGACCGTGATGCCCCTCCTGACTGCAGGGCTCCCACTAATTGGATCAGGATCACTGAGTCCTGAAGGATTCGGGGGGATGGCGGGGGAGTCGGGGTGCTATGTGAACGCTTCAGTTTGAGCTTCTGTCTGCTGTCACATGACCTCTTCGTCCCTTTGTCTGACCCCGAGGGTCTGCTATATTCACCTTCATGCAGGTGTGCTCTCTCAGAGGGCCGCCCCTCCCTGAGCCTGGATTTGCTGTCGGTTTCTTCGTGTTCGAAGGGAGTTTTCCTTCCCACTGTCACTGTGACTCATCCACGGGAGGTCTGAGTGTCCAGTTTCTCTGAATTACCGGAGCTCTCTACAGTATGAAGCATCTTTAAGGAGTCTTGGCTCTAAGGTTCTTCTGTCCTCTGATTGGTCAGTTTTAAAACAGCCTGTTTGGAGTTCCCATGAGCAAATACCGCTTGAACCTCAGAGGAAGATGAGGCAGTGTGCTGGTTCATGTCCCATCATGCTGTGGAGGAGGTGAAGTCACGGATGAAGCAGGTGACTCTTCTTACCGAACACAGACTGCGACACAGTGAGAGCTGTGTGTGTGTGTGTGTGTGTGTGTGTGTGTGTGTGTGTGTGTGTGTGTGTGT